TGCACTAGACGCTAAGTTGAGATGCTCCAAATGGCCTATATTAAAGATGCTGGAATGTTAGGACAGCCAACCTACAGCAAAAGCCTAAGTTGCTCTAAGTGTTTGGAGATGTGTCGAGTGAGGGGACAGCACTTAAGCAATGCCTAAAAGTCCACTAAACGAGACTAACAGGGGCTGTAACAGTGAGGACAGCAAATGTGAAAGCAAGAATAGATGCTCTACTAACACTTAGAAAACCTTTACAGATGAGAGGCAAGCACTTAATACAATAGTTTAATAGGCTTCCTACTTAACTGATGCTTGCCAGGAAATTTTCAAAATCAGTAGTGGAAAACAGTGAAAATTTTTCTATTTACAAATGATATGCATGCTAGTTTTAAACTACAATGAGAAAGCTAGACCCTAGGAATGTTTTAAACATGTCTAGCATGGGTTACCATGCTCTGAACCGAAATGATGTGATGCAAGTGATGAGCTAACAAAGATTAAATGAAGATTTAATCACTAGCTCAACCAATATTATATAATCATGTTTTCAAATTAAATTTGTTATAAGAATTCGTAGTGTTTAACTTGTTTAGGCAAAGGAATTACAAAGGAGATAAACCAAACATTTAAGCAAAATTCAAAGGAAAACATAAGTTAAAAAGCCTAGTGAATTGGAATCAAGCGATTAATAGGAGTTTTTCACCTGAGCCTCTTCTCTCTTTCCTGCGAAACTAGTTGAGCGGCGAGATTCGTCCAAAGCTAGTAGTGAGGTTGCCACGAGGGAGGGAGAGCCAAGAACGTCGTTGTGGAGAAGGAGGCGGAGGTGGAGTGGAGTGGCAACGGGATGATAACCTTTAATGATCACGTGTAGCGGAAAGTGGTCGTACGATGGAATCCACTAGTGTTTGTAGGAAATCCGATCCAAATATTTCTTCACGGTGTCCGTCGAAATCAAGCCTACGTCGAAGAAGGTGATTTGAGGATGTCACTTTTCCTTTGGTTGTCGTACTCAAACCCGAAGTTCCACTTCGGGTTCTTCCATTGCATTCTGCAGTGCAGAACGGGTGGTCCGCGCAAAGAGGATCTCAATGGAGGAGAGGGGCGGCGGCTTGGAGAGGGGGAGAGATTTGAGCGTGGGTTTAAAGGAGATTGGTGGGAATCTCGGTTGGGAGGGAGAGAAGGGAAAAGTGGTGGGTTGTTTTGTTTGAAGAGAAAACTGATTCTCAATTCAGTTTTTGATTAAGGGGAAAATAACGGATTTGAATTTCAAGTTCAGGTTGAAATCCAAAATTCGGTTATAGAGGGAAGAGGAATAAAAGAAATATAAGGAGATGAATTAGTGGCAATTAGAGAGAGAATTAAGGGACAAGGGTGCCGGCATATAGTATGGAGATCAGGCTTTGGAATTTAGAAAGTGGGCCCACGTTTGAATAAATAATTTCAAGATTTGATATATTTTAAGTAACTCCCCAATTTGAGTTATTAAGAAGGAATAGAATTCGAATTTCAAAATAAGCAATTTACTCCCCTTAAATATCTTTCTTAATTGGATGAAGACCAATTAGGAAATTAACTTAATTAAGGGTAATTTGAAATTCAAAAACACGTTTGGGTCAAAGGGGAAGATCGGTGGCAGGAGTATTTTGCTTGGACGGGTGGGCTAGGGGTCACGTGGGCGCCTGGAGGGGAGGTGGAGGTCGGTAGCAGGCTAGCAAGCGGCGGGATTAAATTGGCTGGCAGCCAATTCTCTTGCCCAAGCCCATAGGGCCGGCGACAAGGAAAATTGGAAGAGGGAGTTCTAGAGCTTTGGAAAGCGTTATATTTATTTAGAGAAAATTTTGCATAAAATTCTAGACTCACTCACCTCTTCTTCAAACTCTAAAGGGCAGTAATTAGAAGATATTCTGGAACTCACACAGAGATCCACGAAATTTCCATCAAGAGACTCACGGAGAGAACTAGGGGAAAGGAGAACTCACAAAGAGATCAATAGTTAGTAAACATTCAATAATTCAAATCCTCATACAAGAACACAAGAGCCATTTAAATAGGCTCCACTGACAACAAATATAAAAAATCTAAAATGCCTCCGGGCTACCAAAAGCAACATAATACCCTCCGAGGATAAAATGGGAAAACTGAAAAAATAAATGCATAATACAATAAATGCTAGGTGCAAATAAAACTCAGTAGTAGAGGCTCTCCATCATGGCCGTCGATCTCCGATGTCGTCTCTCGGTAAGACGAGCCGAAATCTCCTGTCGATGACCTCATATATATATATATATATATATATATATATATATATATATATATATAATAGTATTATATTATATATATATAGCAAGGCTTAATCAAAGAATTTGAAGCAGTGCAGAAATATGTTCATATCATGCAAAACAGGGAGAATTAACTCACAAACTTTTTGATCATCTCCGCGCTGCAGAAAGTAATCATCATTTTGGAGCACAGCAACTGTTTAACAACAAACCCACCGTTAGAGGTTGTCAAAGAGTTGCCTAAAAATGACAAAAGTTAGATGAACCACTGTGATAACAGGCTGTTAACTTTGCATTTAGATATGGAGGATAAACTTACAGTGTTAACACATCTAGTATGGCTGACCAGATGTCTGATGCATGGCAATACCTAGGATTAACGTAACCCCACATTGCAATGCTGATGATTTTGCAATATTTTGGTAAACTGGCATGAGAAAGCAGAAGCAAAGGGGGCGGAAAAACGAAGAGGAAGGAAGATCAACTTACCTACCATCACCGTGGAGTGATGAGGACTGGCTTCATACTGAAGTGCCACGAGCATCATTTACACCCTGAATCACCCTCATCAACATGGCTTAGATAGGCAAAAAGAAAATGTTGATGTGTATTGAAAAATTGTTTAGGGAAATGAATTTCAAATTTATTCCTTGGAAAATTAATTATATATATATATATATATATATATATTAATATATATATATATATATATATATTTTGAGAATAAATAGAAAAAGAAAGACATTTAATCTAATTAATTATAATTAACAAAAGAGGAAAGTCATTTAATATAATTGATTATAATAATAATATCCCATGGATCTTGGAATCAATCCTATGAATCTTGGTGTTAAAAGAGAAAATCTCATAATATAGCCCACAGTTGCAGCCCACAGATTGTTGACCTGTTAAAGCCATGGACCCCCTTTTTGCCATGTGATTGAACATGTATTGTAACATTTCTCATTCAGTGGAGTAACCATCGTCACCAAACAGGTCATCAACTACGTTTTAACTATGTAAGTACCGAGCAGCTAACTCAATTGACATGGAAGGAAAGGACAACACATATGGAGGAATAGAAATCAAAGTTAGCTCAATACCACCAATTCCCTGGAAGGTTACTTAATCAAGGCATCAACTGCTAGCAAGTATGCGAAGAGCGTCTCAGAAAAAGTTAGTAAACCAAAAACGTTGTAATTATACTTTAGAGAAAAATGTCAAATGGTCCCTGGACTATTTGTTTAGTCCTAAATTATAAATTTGTTCAATTTAATCTCTTGACTCTTCAAATATAATTCAAAATAATTCCTCTTATAAAATATTTTAGATCATATTTGAGGAGTCAATGGACTATTTTGGATCAGATATGATAAATTAAGAGACTACATTAAAAATATTAGATACTCTGGAAAAAAACAATCTCACATAAATAATCCAGAGACCAATTTGACTTGTTTCTCTTATAGTTGAAATTAAGCATTCATCTTGCACCATAGCAAAAATAGGCGCCCAACTCAACCCACATCCACACTGTTCAAGTGTTGAATTCAATTATTACACCCTCGTCCCATATCTTGCTATGCATAATTCAGCTTTAGGCTTAACTACATCCAAGTTAATTGTTAATTCGTTTCCCTTCTGTAGCCTGGGTGGGGATGTTTAGAATTAGGTTAATATGAATGTCATATCTAGGATTTAAGATTAGCTTATAATTACTGATTATTTGGGATGCCATCATTAATAAGCCCTATCTGAACACAACTGATTAACAATTGGATGCCCAAATTCGATAATCATAGTTCTTCCATAGTAATTTCATGATCAATCCAGAACAAAATGGCCACATAAAAAAATAATAAAACCACATACGCAAGTTCCTATCGATGTAAAAGCTGAAATATATGAAAACCACATAAAGTTCCGGATAAGAACTCACCCTGGAAGTTGACCAGTATGCTCTGCAGTAGGCATTTGCTTCCCATGGCTCAAACAATGCAGTGGCCTGATCAAACGCATATCCCTGGCTGAGATACAGTTCCCGAGGGGCAGGTCTCGGACATTTGTTGGCATAAGCCGTGTATCCCATACAAGAGAATTATTGGCTGTGCTAGAGGCACTAAAGTATCTCCCACAGCTGCTAAATGAAACAGATGTAACCTGCAATGAATGAAGGGAAAATATGGGTTAATTTTCCTGAAATAAGTTATTTGCAAAAAATTAATATATATTGTTGAAAGAATGTGAGACCCACAAGTAAATTAATTTTAAAAGGAATTTTTTACCACATGGATTAAGAGTTCTAAGTTCTAACCATAAGATAGATCCTCTTATGGACCTTAGAACGCAATCCGTGTGCTTCCACTTCCCATTCTAGCCATTGGCCCCTCTTGGAGGTTTTTTTCCTTTTTAGATTAAATAGCTTTTATTTATTTCAATTGTAAGCCTTTTGGTGAAGTACATAAATATTTTTACACTTGGTACAAAATCAGACAATAAAATTTAAAGTTGTTTTCTACTTTTCAAATTTTCTACAAAGTATTATAGCAAGTTTACAGTTTCGCCTTTCAACTTTTGTTATTTTTTCTATCTTTTTGTTGAGAATTTTCATTTTCATCATTATGATGACATATTTCTTTGACTTCCTTTCTTAGGCGTTGACCCTCACAAATGATGAAAATCAAATTAGAGGTGAACTCAAGAGACTATAAGCCTGCCTCATATTGCCTGTATGAGAAACATTATTTAAAATGCTTCCAAATTACAAAGACCTTTTTGAAGGGAAAGGGAGTTATCCATCATTTTGAGGATCCTCCTCTGGAGTTAAAAGACCTAAAATTTATACTTGGGAAGAAGAAGATTTCATGATCATAACATAGTTGTGGAATATAATAATACCTGAAATCAGTGGACCCAATATATTCTTATTTACAACAAAATAAGTTGGGACGTTGTTAAAGAAATATGCTCGAAAGTGAAAGATGTTTTCCCCGTTTATGAGATCAAAACTTATATTTTAACAAACCAGCAACATAATTTTCATGTTATTGAGTACTTTAATGCAGTGATGGTTTATTGGCTTTAATGAGATTATTACCAAGATATCAAGATGACATGCTACGATGAAGCCGTAATTTTCAAGCAATTTGTAGAACGAGAAATGGTGTTTGAGTTTCTTACAATATTCAATATGACTTTGACCAAATACATGTCCAACTCTTAAGAAGAGAAAACCTAACATCACTAAATGAAACTTTTTATCTCATATGAGCCGAAGAAGAATGAAGAACAATAATGCTCAATGCTCCGATTTTCGAAACATCTACCATAACAACCACTGAACCCTAAGATATAAGAGTTACCTGCTACAAACTCTTTCCTAAAATTAAGGTAAAAGTTTTCTTCCAAAGGTAATTTATAGCGTAACTACTGCAAGAAAAAAGGTCAAATCAACGAAAATACTGGAAAATTCATTAAAAAAACCCGCATGATATACAAAAATAACGATCAAACAAAAAGGGTAGGCCAACCATTACATTAGGGGTGTCAATTTTTTACCCGACCCGAAACCCGACCCGGACCCGACCTGAAAAAATACGGGTTAAGGTTAACCCGTTTAGCAAACGAGTCGTGTTCAGATTTTTGACCCGTTTCAAAAAATGGGTCGGGTTCGAGTTGACCCGAAAACCCAAAATCAACCCGACACTGACCTGAAAGTTGAGTCCATCCCGGTTTTCGACTGCACTCGCAAGTCGCGACGTCGCCCGCTGCTGCACTCGCGCCGTCGCCCGCTACCGCGCTCGCGCTGTCGCGCATTCCCGCGAACTCCGTCCGCTTGGTTGGTCCCAGTCCGCACTCGCGCAGTCGCGTCGTTGCACGTACCACGGTCCTGCGGACTCTGTCCTGGACGCGCGGACCGCGCGGTCCCGCGGACTGCCAGAATCCGTCTGAAGTCCGAACTCAAGCAGTCGAGCGTTCGAGTGCGGACGGAGTCCGAACTCGCATTGTGGCGAGCTCCGCCCTCTGCCGCGCAGGTCGGGTCGTGTCAACCTAGCAACCCACCCGGGTCGGATCCGGGTTGAAATGTCTGACCCGTTTGCAAAAATGGGTCGGGTTCGGGTTGACCCGTTTAGACCCGAGTCAACTCGGGTTCGACCCGAAACCAACCCGTCGACCCGAATTGACACCCCTACACTACATAAGGGCTTAATCCAAAAGAAATTGAAAAATTCAGAAACTTCCTCACCTCTGAAAAAAGCATCTAAATAATAATCTCTAGGTCAAAATAATAATAACTTCTAACTCTTGTATTTTCAGTGCCTTGAATAATTTGCCTCACACATGGATCCTAGCTTCAAGAGCAATCAACCACATGACTGGCTTTGCCAACCTTTTTAAACCTATAAACCTTACTCCAACAATAGAAGAGTAAAAGTAGGTGAAGACTCTCTGACAATAATTGTAGATCAAAAAATAAATTCAACTTTCTCCATATTAATCCAGTAATTTCCTACAAGGTCCTTATCTTTAAGTAAATTTTAACATTACTAAAGACCAAAACTATCAAATAACTTTTTTTGCTAATCATTGTGTCAGGCAAGCTAAGGAAAATGATAAGCTATATCTTCTTGAAGATGAAAACCACTTGTCATATTTTCTTTTTACTTTCACCCTCAATATAGAAGCCATTTGAGAACATCATTATAGTTGACATCCATTTTTAAAATGTTTTTTTTTTCTATTTTTCAACGTTTAAAATTGCGCAATAAAAGGCGCGCCTAGCCATTTGAGAACATCATTATAGTTGGCATCCATTTTTTAAAATGTTTTTTTTTTTTTTTAAATATAAACATAAAAACTTTTCATTATGAGATTTAATTTTTTTTTTTTCTTCTAAAAGTGATTCTATATCCTCTACACTCTTCTAATTGTTCACTTTGATATTTGAAGATTTTCCAAAATTCCCAATTAAAGCTACAAAATTTATCAAATTCACTGATGATTACACTAGGATGAAATGGATAATCTTATCAAACAAAAATTTTAAGTTAACATTACACTTTCTTCTCTTACAACCATTATACAAAAAACAATTCCATGCTAAGACAAGATATTTCAGACTAAAAATGCTTGTAATTACTTTAATCACACATGACTGTTTTTTTTCCAGAAAGAATGTATCATCCATCAATCCTCCTATCCTAAAAATTCCTAATAGAATAATGATAGAAAGGAAAAATTGCCATCTTACAGGACTTTTCTCTTTTAGAATTAAGTGCCAAAAAGATATTAAGAAGAAGCAGTAATGACTACTACATACCAAATATGTAGAATACCCACAAGATTAATAGGATTCAAAAGTCATATAAACTATCTAGCTAAATTTCTCCCAACTAACATCCTCTCAAAAATTCCTCTTAAATATTTGGGTGCACTGTATATATCAACATTCACAAACACAAGAGTAAACTTGATCCTAGAGCACTGAAATGTATCTTTATTAAGAATTCCTCTACTTAATGTCGTATAAGTGTTATCACCCTACCACGGAGTACCACCAAAAAACTTCTTACTTCAAAAAATATCACCTTGATGAGAACTTTTTGAATCAAACTCATCTTTTGGGGGAGAACTCTCAACTAAAAAATAAATTTAATGAATTTTATCTTTCAACTTGGCATTCCTATAACACAAACTCCAACAAATTTAGACATTGTACCCCTTCAAGTCTATATAAGAATGAATAAGCCAAGCCAAAATCCCCAGCAAGTTCAAGACTCAAAATCACGACAGATTCTACTATATTATCCCATCTCCCAGTACTAATTTCATTACAATACCATAAACTCTATTTGAAGCACTTGAAAATAAAAATTTGAAAAATGCCATGAAGGAAGAGTAGAAAAATTACATGTGTGAAATCGCTGAACCACCAAAATGAAATAAAGCAATATGGTGTAAATGAATTTTTGTAAAATATAAAGCACCTCGAGATTGGTAATCAAAAGATATACTCTATCCTATGGAACTAACTATTAAGAAACTTTGCTCCTATTATAAAAATAAATACAATACGCATCTTAATTTTTCTTGCAACCAATCGTGGATTGTCATGCAGCAATATGATATAAGGAATGCTTTTCTACATGAGAATATTGAAAAAAGTCCATATAGCTCCACCACCTAGATATGATAGTTCTTTCACAATGAAAAAGTGTACAAATTATAAAAGGCTTTATATGGTCGTAAACAATCTTCAAGAACTTGATTTGGCATATCCATAAAAGTCATGAATGTAGTTGGATACAAGAAAAAATAAGATCATAACCTCTTCATAAAATACTCCATTAATAGTAAAATTGCAATTGTCATCATATCTATTGATGACATAATTGTCATAGCTGATGAAAATAAAGAAAAAGAGTCCATAAAAAAAAGCTTGTTGAAGGAATTTGATATCAAAGAGTTGGACAAACTCAAATCATTTTTGGTAATAAAAGTGCTCGGTCATAACAAAAAATACTCCTCTCTAATCAAAAAATGTATCATAAATTTATTAAAAGAAATAAAAATAACTAATTGTAATTTTTATAAACCACAACATAACCGAATCAAAAATTGGATGCACGTGACGGAAAAAAAGTAGATATGGGACAATATCAAAGATTAGTTGAAAAATGATATCTATCTCACATCAGTCCCGACAGCACATTTGCATTGAGTATCATAAGTTAATTCATACATAAAACCAATAAGTCCATCTTCAAGCTGATTATAAAATCCTCATATAGCTTAAATCAAATCCTAGTAAAAGAAGTATTTATAAAAAATAAGATACTTTACAAATTATAGGGCAATGTTTAAAATTGCGTAATCGGGGTATTGAGGCATTTTTCGTTCGTGAGGCGAGGCGTAAGCCTCAAGGCGTTTTTGAGGCATAAGCCCCAAAATCAAAAAATTGCGTAAACATAAAATGATAAATTTTGTATATACTAATGAGTAAATAATATATAAAATATAAAAATGCACAAGATATGAAGTGAAATCAAAATATCTCAATACTAAGATAACATGAATACAACAATATACCGATCTGCCAGGGGGCAATGCCCCCTGGCGGGTTCGACCTGGAAAGATATCGAGCATGTACCGAGCGGTATCGAGCAGGTACCTGGCGGTACCGAGCAGGTACCTGGCGGTACCGAGCATGTACATTAGTTTTTTTTTTTTTTTAGAGGCGAACGCCTCTCAACCGCGAGGCGAGGAGCGCCTCAGTAAACTTGAGGAGTACGCCTCATATCCTGAACTCATTGCGTGGGCTTTGAGGCTTAAAGGGGCAAAATTGTGCTGAGGCGCGCCTCTTATTGCAAAATTTTAAACCATGTTATAGGGTATACTAATGCAAAGCATACACGATCATTAGTGAACAAAAGATTTATGAATGGAAACTGTCATTTTTGAAAGAAAATCTATAAATATGGAAAAGCAAGAAATAATTTATTGTTTCAAGATCTAAAGTTGAATATGAATTTAAAGCCATTGTCCAAGAAATTTTGTGGATTAAAATTATTTTGGAATATTCAAAAGACAAATGGAAGGTCCATTAAAAATATGTTGTCAATAAATCTGCTATCAGCATTGCTCATAACCTGATACAGTATGATCGTACGAAGTATATGGAGGTAGATAGACATTTCATAAAAAAAGAAACTAAAAAATAGGTTGATTTTCACTTTGTTTGTTTGCTGAATATTCGTGCAACGCTCAGACGAAACTGTTGCGGGCTGGAATATACGCTGCGGTAGAGTTAGAAATTTTTCGTCTGAGCGTTGCACGAATATTCAGCACACAAACAGGAAAGGAAAATAAACACCAGGATTTTTATGTGGAAAACCTGAAAAAGGGAAAAAACCACGGGGCCGCGCCCAGTTGAAAAGTTCCACTAGTGTTGCTTGAGTTACAAGAAGCTGATTCGTCCCACAAGTTAGGACGATCAGATTTACAATGAATTTCTTTTGAATTGAAATTCAGTTACAAAGTTGTGCAGAATTCCGGCGTTCTCCCGGATATCCGGCAGAATCTCGGCATGTTCGGGCGGCAGGAAGAACTCCGGCGGCGATCGAGGAGGAGCTGATTCTCCTTCCCCTTCTCTTCTTCTTCTTGTTTCGGTCCCTCCTTATGAGAAATGAGGGGTCTATTTATAGTTTTTCTAGAGTAGCATGGCTTGTAAATAGGTGTGAGATCATGGGCGAACAGGGAGTGGTCGAATGGATGGCTGATATTGAATCCCTTGATCATACATTGTTCGTCAGTCATTTGAAGGCCTTAGTGATGTCGGAATCCGGCGATCTTGGGCTCGTTGGATTCGTCTCGTCGAGCCGTTCGATTCGACTATAAGCTCGTTAAAATCGGAGACCGTTTGGTAACTCAAATTGTGGTACGAGCTTTCCAACAGCGCTTTGGGTGATTGATTTTGGCTCATTTGGGCTCGGATTGAGTTGAATTTGGTGTCGTTGGGTTCGTATTTCCGTATATATATATATATATATATATTTTAACCAATCTTAATAGGGATTTTTAAGCACAGGTTTCTAATTATTGCAACAATCCTCTTATGGCCCTTAGATTGCAATTCATTTGTCTTTTCATTCTATTCTTGTTGACAACCACTTTTGGGTTCTTTCTTTTTTTTAATAACTTTGATTTATTTTTATTATAAAACTTCTAAAGAAATCTATAAATACTTTCACACTTTGTACAGAATCAAACAATAAAATTTAAAATAGTTATATATATATATATGCACCAACAATAGACTAAAGGGACAAGCTACAAAATAATACTATGCATATAACAAAATCTATTTAAAGTGTACCTCATAATTCGATCCGATTGAAAGATAATTAACTGCATTGCAAGTCCGTATGTCAAATAAGCCAACAGTTCCATCAACAGCACCTATTGTAATGGTGCATAAAAAACCTCATCACTGTCAGCAATATATGTGGGATGCCCCGGGATGGCAAGTCATACCTGTGATTATGGTGCTGCCTTGTGGATTTACTTTGAGTGAAGTGATAAACTGTGGATCAAATATGTTAGTCTAATTGAACAAATGTTTTAGCAGATCAAAAGAAAAATAACTTACAGAATTATTCGCAGGGAAGCATTGAAGGGATTGTGGAGATTCCATATCCCATAATTGCACTATTGCTGAACCACCGCGATCAAAATCACTTCCACAAGCTAGAAGACTTTCATTGCAAAATTCCGTTGTATCAATAGACGGAAGATCATGGTTCTTAACCCTGCCCTTGGAATGTAAATTAGACTTGAATATAAAAGATGTAGCATAACAAAGTCTATACATTTAAAGAGAGAGAGAGAGAAATATATACAATTATTTTTAAGAAATGATAGAAGCTCTTATGCTCACACCTAGTAACATTCATCCATATCTTTGAAAGACAATGATTTAATAAAGATTTCAGCTATAAATATGATAGTGGGAATTTGAAAAGAAGATTGAATTTTTAATCTCATCCTCATCCTTCCAAAAACATATATGAGAATTAGTAGATAATTACAATTAAATAAGATAAATATTAAAAAAAAATTATGTTTATTCTCATATAAAATTTATTTATACTGCAAATATTCTTTAAAATATTGATTTATATATAGTTCGTAAGCAAAACAAAAAATTATTACATAGAAGCATGTTTTAAGATAGAATATTATTTTACAATCATATTTTATTTCTCATTCATTGCAGAGTAATCTAATTATTATGATATGATGTACTTCGTCACAATTGTTAAGTAGCATTATTCATAACATAACTTCCTTTGAATTGCCGGAATAATTTTTTTTAGACAATAAATATAGCATTTTTTTTAACAAAAACGTCATTTATTCAAGCAACAAAATAATAAAAAAAAAATTAAATCAAATAAATATATTTACTCATTATCCTATAATCAAATAACAAATATAAAATTGAACAGAATCATGAATATATTAATCATGGTTGTCCTAAGTCACAATTAGATAGTCATACAGGAATTTTTCTCAATTATTGCCAGCCACTAAATCCTCTCGAGTTCGAACTCGCTTTCAAACTGACGAGCTGAGCTCGATAGTACCAAAACTCGACTCGACTCGGCTTGTTTACACCTCCCAAATTGATTTTCAACTATTTAATCTTCAGTACATGCTACTCAATCATCCCTCTAATTTAATCATGCATTAATTTATCATTTTTTTTTCACACATCCATATTCACAATCACATCTTGAAATATTCAACTTTCTATTAGAAGGTTTGACACCGAGGATAAAGATGGAAGAAAGACTAACTAATCAAAAACACAGAAAAACCTCAAATTTTAGTTTGCCAATCCCATATATAGACCCTTACAATCAAACAAATCAAGTCTAGTGTCCAAAGGCCAACTAACAATTGAAAGGACTGAAAAGAGAAACAAAAAATTACCTAAAACAAAACAAGATTACAACGATTGAAATGGTCATAATCTACTGTACTCTTGGAAATTTCCTAAGAAATCCCCTGGCCGGCAGATATGCTTTCTCCCTCTACTTGGATATCAATTTTTTCCAGCGCTGAACAACTGTTTGAGTCTAACCAAAAACCATACAACGACTGGACAGGCCCTGAATTGATCTAAGGCTGAGTTCTTGATTCCAAGAACCAGCACCTGCAGGAAAATAGCAAGAATCTCCCAGTAGATGGCTCTTTACAAGAAGCGACATCAGCATCAATTGAAAAATAGTGGTAACAGAGAACCGGGTGGCTTCTTGCTATTCAGTTTGCCTTCTTGGATCAAGATTTCGGTGACTAATAGCAGGTTGTACACGTTCCTACACTGGGCGGCCAGGCAGGGCTTGGAAATCGCTATTCTGGACAGTGCACTGGCGGCCTGAACTCAGGCGGGACACTGGCAGCATGTCTTTACAACCCCAATTTCTAATTGTTTTCCAGCACAGCTGGCTGAATGGGGGACGAAGAGGCTCAGTATTGATGATGGCAGAATCCCAAACTCCACTACACCCTCTCTTTCTTCTCGTCTCAATATTTAGGGGGAAATCCATCCCAAGAATGGTAACTCTCCCTGCTCTCTCAGGTTTTCCTAAAACCGAACTCGAACTCCAAACCCTCTTTCTCTCTCTCAGGAAAATGGTTTATTTATAAGCAAACAGAAGACAAAAGAGAGAGCATAAAATACCAAACTACCCCTATTTAACAACAACAACATCAAGCCTTTATCCCACTACGTGGGGTCGGCTACATGAATCTTTTTTCTCCATTGTGTCTGGTTAAGAGTCAAATTCTCATTTAGATCTAATTAAAAAAAGTCATTTCTAATATTTTCTAACCAAGTCTTTTTAGACCTCTAACTTTCTTAACATAGGTTAAATCTAATACATCAACTTTCCTAACCTGGTCATCGGAAGGTCGCCATTTTATGTGACCAAACCATCTAAGGCGGCTCTCTCTAATCTTATCTTCCACTGGAGCTACTCCAACATTTTCACGTATATGCTCATTTCGTATCCTATCTCTAAGGGTATTATGCTTCTCTTTTAATGGCCAACATTCGGCACCATAAAGCATTGCAAGTCTCGCCACCATCTTATAGAATTTTCCCTTAAGTTTGTGGGGGACTTTTCTATCACACAACAAGCCCAATGCATTCCTCCACTTCAAACATCCAACTTGAATTCTGTTGATAATATCCCCATCTATTTTACCATCACTCTAAACAATAGATCCAAGATATCTAAAATGTGCACTCTTATTAATGACTTGATCGCCCAAAGTCACAAACCTCCCACCAGCTTTATTACTACTAAAATTATACTTCATGTCATGATTATTCGATAAGTTTTAAGCTGGTTGTCGACTACCTAATGCAACCCTCCACTTTTCTCATCCAGGACTTCGGACCTGGCAACGGCAATGTTGCATCTAAAAATGGATATAGTATCTTTGCATCTCCAGAACCAAGCAAAAAAAATATATGGGCTCGATATTGATCATGATGTAGTCCAAAATTATTGAAAAATATTTGTCCACTCAACATCTACTTCAAATACCAATCAACATACTTGTTCTTAATAACGTCAACATACCTAAGACTAACTTTTCTTTTTTAATGTACACAAAATTAATTCTTATGGTACTCGATCATACCCCTTTCTAAGATTAATGAAAATATTGTCTTCCCTATAATTCTAGATTAATTTTCATACCTCTTAATCAATTGTGAATATTTTCTAACATGAAGACAATTTGATTTTCCATAATCAAATTTTTATAAACCTTCGCTAAATTACTCTCTGTGATAACTTCATAATATAATTCACTAGTTTGATTTCTTTATAATCATCACAATCTTAAATGTCTACTTTTCTTTAATATTTGTAATGAAATGCTCTTATAAAAATTTATTGAAAAGATGTCAACCAAACACTATAGTATTCCCCATAACTCTCTAAATCGCAATAGGCATCACATATAAACCTAAAATTTTAACTTTGTTTATCAGTTTTGCATCATTTTTTAAGTCAATCAACAATGTATCTTATTGTTATGTTCCCTGAGAGCCCTGAAGCAAGGAGGAATAGATAAGAAAGCAAGGGGAATCCCGTTCAAGAAAGAGGAAGGATAGATTCAAGGAAGAGCAAATGAAAAAAAAAAACTCCAACCTATTAAGATCTTCATTTCTAGTTATTCATTTAATTTCATACAAGTATAATTCTTTCTTTTGGGCAAACCTTGTTTGATCCATCAGTCATTAGTAGATCACTAATACATCTTAAATTCCACTGATTTCCAAAAACTGACCACAATAGAAAAATATTATTGTGAGGAAATAAAACTTAAATAATTTTAAGAAAAAAAGAATGGGATAAATAAAAAAGTTCACCAGAATGAAAGCCGTCGACATTCATAGCCTTGCATTTCATAAAAAGAGGGAACCAACATAAAAAAGCTCATCAATATCTTTAACTGATAAAATACATCATTAAGCAAAATCTAACAAGAATTTATATCAAAAAAATTAAAATTAAATGTTATTTTCAAAAGATGACCAGGACTTGTTAAAATTAAGTATTTCACAGTTTTTTTTTTCTTTAAATTAAGTATTTCACAGTCCAGTAACATCATGCTACTAATGGTCCGGCAGTAAGACAGAAGGAAACGTGAACCTAAACACAAATGATAAAACTGAAAAACAACCAAAAAAAAAGAAAAGTTTTTTTGTTCTCAACTCTTTTTTCCACAGAGAATAAGGTTTCAGTAAATGAACAAAAAAATCGGCAGTACTAAAGAAAATGTTACAACTGTTGCAAGTATACAATATCTGAAACAAAATTTTGTACAATTATGACGCATCGTGAAAATACACAAAAAATACAACTTGCCTAAAGTTTGAATTCAGATCAGCAACAAGTTCTCCTCTCAAAGCATTCCATAGCAGAAGTTTGCCATCTCCCGTCCCCCCACCAGTGACAACAAGACCTAAACAAAGAGCAGCACATCAAATAAAGGTACAGACTAAAGAACGTGAAAACAACTAACAGAATAATAAATTATAGCATTAATATTCATGGGCATCAGATGGGGAGAGCAAAGTAAGAGCAATTGATGCAGTCTAGTTTATTCTAACGTAGGATGTGTTGGGATCACATGTTGATCTGATAGGTACAAAATTATAAATAGGGAATAATTATTTGTCTTCAAGTTTATTAGCTAGGTTCTCTATAGGAAAAGTTCAAGTTCCATAATCATGCACAGAACACAAAAGAGCTAAATTTAGTCCAAGATCATGCCTAAATAGACTCTTTCTTTTTATCTTTCTATTAAGCTCATACGTTAGCTGAATTGCCAAGCCGCTAAAACTTTGATCATTTCAATTAACCATAGGTTAGATGCTTAACCCTGAGTTAATCCATAGAAGAAACAAGCCTTTTTCAGCCAACGCAAGCAGACCAGCCACATTGGCCGGGTGAGGTTCAACTGAACCCAAATGAATGGATTGGCAAAGGTTCAAAAGCCACAATTGGATATGCTACCTTTCATGCAAATAGTAAAGCTACAGGACTTGATATTGTCAAGGGTTTGCCCGCCATCTACTTCAATAAACATCATATATGTGGTGTTTGTCACCTTGGGAAGTAAATTATATTATCATTTAAGATAAAAATGCTTTTCTACCATCTAGGCCTTTTCAATTATTGCATATGAATTTATTCAACACTCTCTGAATCATAAGCCAAGAAGACAAGCAATATTTTCAAGCCGTAGTGATGTAGACAAAGGGGGGGTCAACTCATGTCCAAAATAATACAAATTTTGGCTTCCCTTGAGTCTACTATTTGAGCTGAAATTTTAGCTCATTTATGAGTTGGACTTTAGTTCATTTATTGAACTAAGGGTTAGCTCATTATTAGCTAACATTTTAGTTCATTTATTATCTTACTTTTTATTAAATGTTATTTATA